ATTTTAGTACAACTGTTAACTGACTGTAACAACAGTTCTATTGCGAAAATAACGACTAAAAAAGATAAATACATAAAAAAAAATGTAGAAGGTGTCGGCAATGTAGAAGTGTCACAATCTCACAATTTACACGTATAAAAAATTTCAAGTGGATTTTCATGCTGATTGTTTTAAAATACTCACGCTAATCATTAGGCGTGCATGACTATAGTTAGATGTCAGTAATTTTGTAGTTTAGTAATCTCAACGTTTCATCAACGCAACATTTTGCATCATCTCCGCGCAATAGTTTGGGTTATTTTTTCTTTTCATGTTTTGCCTGTATTTTTGTTTTCCTCCATTGAATGTTTTATAACTGTTACAAATCATAAAATTAATTTAAAGTAACTTTTATTGCATTAATGCCATAATTTTTATCCTTCAATGTTACGATATATTATTACACTAGTGATTCGCCCCGGTTTCGCACGGGTGACGGACACTTCCTCGCCCTAAAATACTCTCAGCAGTGAGACGTATACATATATAGGATGTAACTTTACTATTGATCAAGATACTTGTAATTTAACTACGAGCATACTTAGCCATGTGCTCCCCAGAACTATTATAAACAATAAACAAAATGGTTCATTAATCCCAAGCTATATTATTACCAAAAGTATATGGTGTTAACACTGTTTGGTACGCTGTTTCTTTTGTACATACCTAAAAACAAATAGGAGTAAACGAGAGAGATGTATTCAAAACATTCATTTAAAGCGAGGGTCGGACATCCGTGGTTCCGTCGTTGCCGACGCGTGACCATGCCTTCCTGTGGCCGCTGACACACTGTTTGGGTTGGAGGAATTAATTAAACGCCCAGTTATATTTAGAACTATGCGCGTATGTAGTGTTCTGACTTTATTTTCTATGAATTTAAAAACAACGTAAATTAAGAACATTTTCAAATATGACATTACAACGTAAGTTCTCGGGTTAACTCAATTCATCCATTAATCTATGAAAATAAAAATAAACTACGCCCATGCCCATGTAACTATGCCCACATCTTAAGCTCGTAGTGACAGGGTTGGCTGATTTAAATCAGACTGATTTAAATCATGATTTAAATCACGATTTAAATAGCTTGATTTTGATTAAAAAAATCATTGATTTAAATCAACATGTATAAATTAATGTAATAAGCAGAAATCGAAATAATACTGGCTTAACATAAGGTAAAATCTTTTATTGTTTTATGTTATTCTTATTATTCTACTACAATAGTCTCATAAACTTTGGAAAATCGACAAAGACGTAGCGATGAGGTCTGTCAGTCTCATAAACTTAGTAAAATCAACCAAAATTTTTTTTTGAAATTCACCCTTAAGATATGAACTGTAATTAATACAGTATTAATTATTTTATTCATACATATGTATTCATAAACTTTTAATCCTACTACGTCAAAAAGTGTTACCAACTCGTGAATTTCAAAATATACAATAAAAATCAAAAAAGTCAAAAAATTCAAAAAAATCATGGTTTTTTTAAAAAAATCAGTATGATTTGATTAAAATTAAAAAAATCATGATTTTTTCCATCCCTGCGTAGTGACCGACAAAACTATTTTATTACTAGCGATCCGCCCCGGCTTTGCCTCTGTACGATCAAAGACCATTTATTTTATAAATTTTCGTTTCTTTATTTTTAAATCTCCAAGCTATATACTCCACTCCTCCTACCACTCCTCCCAATGCCTTTCCGAAGATTAGTCCGGACAGACAGACGGACAATAATTTAAAATATGGTTATTCATGTTTTCATTGCATGCAAATGCCAGTTATTTCAATATTACAGACAGACACTTTAATTTTATTTATACATATACATAGATTAAATTTAATAGCGGTAGTAACCGGTTTGGTTTTGCGTTTATTGTAAATTTTCACGAGTCACTGAAGAATTTTCAAAACTTTTGGGATACAGTATTAGACATCTTTCTATTTATGCCGTCATGTAAATTCTTTTGTATAACAAATTTACAATGTAATTATCTATATACTGCGCTGATGTAATCTCATCTTGAGAGCCGTAACAGTTTTGTGGATAAGCCGTTCGCTTTAAAATTTCGAGCAAGATATTAATTAGTAGCAAAGAAATTGTTAATTGCAATTAACAATTTCGTTGGTGATTAGGAAACGTGTTTGTATAAGAATCTATTTGTATAAGAAATTTAAAATATATTTTGGGGAAAAATAAAGTCCATCAATACGCATTATGGCAGCGCGGGCTACTTTTCCACGCTCGAAAAGCCTTCTCAAAATTAGAGGACGTAGGCTGTTCCGAAGTAACGTCCCATTGCTAGCAGCTGCCTTCTCTTATACCTATGGAGATAATGAAGCAACCTGCCACGCTGCTCCAATGCGACTTCGCAAGTCCTCGATATATGATTACGATACACGATACAAGATTTCCTGGTGTGGGTACCAACGGATACTTCAATCAGTTGTATATAGTAGTTATCTGTCAACAATTTTCATTTTCTACCGACTTCAAAAAGTAGACGGTACTCAATTCGACAGTAACTTTTTTTGTATGTTACCTCATAACTTTTTACTGGGTAAACCAATTTCGATGATTCTTTCTTCTCTTGTGGTCCCAAATAAATTTGATCAAGGTCTGACCAATAGTTTTTGAATTATTCTTAATAATTTATATTGAAGTCGGTTGTACAAAATTTTAAATTTTAAATTATGTAGTTCATGTATCAAAAATGCTTTTTGTGCCTTCGCGGTGTTTTCTTTCACCGCTAGGCACGCCATAAATCAGTACTTCTGGTATAGCGCCAACCCGTCTGCCAAAATCCTCCCTACAATGCATGAGCCCCATTTCCAGCTAAGGATTGTTGAAGAAGGACAAACGCGACTATAGGCATAGGAACACACGTAGTACAGTCTTTTTAGGGACATTTTGCACAGTTATGCAATTGCTGGCATGTTACTAGACAACTTTTATACGTGGTAGAGCCATGCTACAGCTATATTTCTGGTATAGTTGTAGCACGAATGGGTCGGCTCAACCGGGGAAGGACCACGCTCTCACAGGATACCAGCGTAAAATAGCAGCTTAATGCTGCTGTGTTTCGTATGAGTGAGTGTAGAGAACCGGAGACCCTTTTTACTGAAAACGAGGCATTTTATCTTAGTCCTCACGGGTAACAACGCATCCGCATTTTGATTCGTAATCGAGGATAAATGTAGATGTCTATGGGTCACAGCAACCACTTACCATCAGGTGGACTGTGTGCTCGTTTATCACCCTTATCCTATTAAAAAAAAACTTGATCGTGTAGCTGCGGTGTATGAATATCCCCTAACCTATATCATTCCGTGGGTGTCGTAAGAGGCGATAGAGGGAAACAAAGAGATGGGCAGCAGCGTCTTCTTAATAACGACTTAAAATAAAAAATAAAAACTGCGGTTGCCAACTCGCTTGCCAAGCGTGGCAAATATCCCCTTTAAGGCAATCTATGGGAGAGGCCTATGTTTAGTAGTGGACTTTAATAAGCTGTAACGATGCTTGGCAACTTAACTAATCTAGCAACCTACATAATATGTATTTTACCATCCAACAAACTACATTTTACGAAGATCCACCTGATGTTAGGTGGTGATAGGGTACCAGATGGTAAACAAGTTAGCCTCAAAAATGACTATTCACTCTTTCCTATTAAGGTATCAAATTATATTGGTTAAAGACGACACAAGACGCAGACAAAGAATTTATTATCTTATGTGATAATTGAAATAGAATTTCATATTATATTATATATACCATAAATATTTTATTGTTCACTATCGTGATAAACTTCCATAAACGGTAGGGTTACTTAAATCATCGATGCAGTCATACCGAAATATGTTAAAAATCATTCATTCTTTCTATATTGATCATTATCTGCAGTGCAGTCTGATGGTTTTGTCGATATAGCGTGGTAACGTAATGACGCCAGTCTCTACAGGGGAACACGCTTAGCCCCCGACATTTTTTAAAGGTTACTAGTGTCGGTGGGTTGTCATGAATAATGGAAGGAAATATTACGAATATTAAATTTGTGTTTATTATATATACAACAAAAACAAATAACAATGTAATGGGGAAGTAGACTCTTGTTTCAATTGAAATACTTTACTAGAATGTGGTCTAAATAATAAAATTTTAAGTCGACTATGAAATACTCGTATCACAAGCTTAATGTAACGACTATAATGTGGTCTGCAACTTTACATACGCCGATTAATCTATTAAAAACAAAGTTTTTACGAAAATAAACATCAATAACTCACTTTATAGATTCATGAAGTCAAATAAGCATCTTTTATGTATATTTTCAAAGAATAAAAATTAATTTAACTTATAATAATTTAAAATTAAAAATTTTATACAGCAGACTTCAATATAAGTTATTAAGAATAACTCAAAAACTATTAGTCTGACCTTGATCAAATTCATATGGAACCACATGTGAAGTACCAGCTTTCAAATAAAAAAAAGAATCATCGAAATCGGTTCACCCGGTAAAAAGTTATGAAGTACACATAAAAAAAAAACATACAGTCGAATTGAGTACCGTTTCCTTTTTGAAATCGGCAGAAAATAGGAATTTAAATATGATGTACCTAATAATTCGTTAATTATTGGAGTTTTGTACACAAATTATAGTAATAAAATCTAATGGTTTATTACGAATTTAAAGAAAAAAACAACGTCCAGTACTATTAATTACTTTGTGAAAGAAGCGTAATATTTTTATTTTAATGCAATTGCAATTCGCAGAATACTTATGCCTGAGTTTTTATCTAATCTCATTTGATTACGCATTCTCGCAAGTCAATTAAAAAAAAAACCTTGGCCACACCTTAACGATCTGTCGGAAATAAAATATTGTTTTAGCAAAATACAAAAGGACCTTTATTAATTTTTACATTAGAAGTAAAGATAAATAAATTAAAATAATATCACATCTGACGCCTGTTGCCAAACGAAATACCAGTTTGCTGGCCTTTATTGGTACCATACTGCAGGGAAATGACATTTTGTCCAGCTTTTAATTGCTCTTCGCTGAATTCCCGAACGTTTTTCTCAGCTTCCTTAGGTCCAATTGATGGTTTGCCATAATTACCGGCTTTTCTGCCCAATGATTGTAAGCATATCACAACGGAATATAAATTCTGCCTCTCCCACAGATCAATAGTTTGGAATGTTTCCTGCGGTGGCACACCCAGTTTCTTAGCTGCCTCGAGGAATGCGTTAATGTTCTCCATACACTTAAAGGCCATTGTAGACTGGTTGACCTTCTTCACAGACCCTTCTTGTATGGCGTTGACCAGTTTACACAGAAGTGTTCCATCTTTAAGTACCTCGTAGAGATTATCCGCGCTGCCAGAGGTGTCGGCCGGGGCACCGGTCAATTTCTTAATCCATTCAAGTGTTTCGTGAGCGATATCGTCATTGTACTTACTGTTGATACGGTCCTGAGCCTCTGCGTTAATCCCAGCTTTCCCAGCACGATTTTCTGCCATTTTTGTATTGCCTGTCGTACGGACACGTAGCCACTGAGGTTCTTATGATAAGCAACTTCTCAATATCAGGTCGATGATACGGCCGATATATATTATCGCTTGTTCTACGAATGTTATCGCGTCAGCTTATCGCCTGTATTATCTAGCCGCAATTATTATTCTTTTAAGAATACAAAGCTATAGCTCGAACAGTATGACATGGATTAATTATATTATAGTAGCTGATCACTACCTAATGTTTCCCAATTTTTGTTAAAAATGTTTTTAAATTAATGAACGCTAAAATGTTTATTTTTTGAAACTTTTGAATGGATTAAGGCAGGAGTTCCCAAACTTTTAAGGTAATGGAACACATACCAAATCCCTTCTATTTTATGTAACCCCACATCAAATGATTACATTTCATAGACAGTGCAACTGAAATACCTACGTATCTACATAACAGTAACGGGTTCTTCTCATCACATATTTTGCGCGCATTCCAAATAATATTTGTACCAAAGTGTGAAATTACTTAACAAGCAAAAATAAATAAATAAATAATCTTTAGGAATCTCTAGACTAAGAAAAATCACATGCACAAGACTTTAGCGTGTTTTAATAATATACGAAGTAAAGAACTAAATATGACGGAATCGTTATTATTCATAGATGGAAGCCATAGCACTGCTATTACGCAGTTACGTCACTTGATGACGTATTTTTATTTCTATATAACTTAAAACTGCAAGTTTATACAGGAGAAATTACTATTATAATTTATATACATATAATGCTGTGTAGAGCGGGCGTAACAACATTCACTACCCTATCTACATATATCATCCCGTGGGTGTCATAAGAGACCACACGGAGAAACTGAACCAGTATATGGTCAACATCATCTTCCTGAAAGCAAAACTAATAACTTTTTTTGCCAACCCTAGGTGGGTTAACTAAGCGTGGCACCTACTCGTAAGTCGTATGACATAGCTCTCAAAATTCAGAAATTCGTTTCTGGTTGTTGGCTTTGCCGATAAAAGGGTTGAGATCTGATCGGGAAAAATTTCCATATCCGCTCAGCATAGCAGATTTAAGCAACTGCTATGTACCTTAGCGCGCGTTTAGATATCAACTCTTTTATCAACAAACACAAACGTCGTTTGTACCGAACTTGACCAACTTTTTACATTTGTTTTTGGTGGGAGGGGAGTAGAAAATTGCCAAAACAGCCTCAAGTACTCAATGGACGCCGCCTTAATTAGTTACAAACACTTAGTGGAAGCAATCCACATTAGCACTTTATAACAAGCCGAATAGTTAGACAATGGAACGGTTTACCTGAAATTGTTACAAACTCTGCTGTAAATACTTTAAAAAAATTTACTGGTCAATAATAAAAAAAAATTGTAAATTAGTGAAATTAGCTGGACAGAATAATAAATAAATAAAACCTAATACATCACAATTTTTAAGTCTACGATAGGTTACTCTAGTGGTCTCTTTTCTACCGACTTCGAACAGGAGTAGGTACTCAATTCAACTGCGTTTTTCTTTTTTTTATGTGTGTTACCTCATAATTTTTTTCTGGGTGAACCGATTTCGATGATTCTTTTTTTATTTTAAAGCTGTTGCTTCACATGTAGTCCCATATAAATTTGATCAAGGTCTGACCAATAGTTTTTGTGTTATTCTTAATAATTTATATTGAAGTCGGTTGTACAAAATTTTTTATTATAAATATTATGGGAATTTAATCAGAAATATTATGGGAATATCAATAAATGACGTCACAGTTCTAGTCAATAACAACTTCTTTGTATGTTTTTAAATAAAATAAAAAATCAACTAAATTAAGTTAAAACGGAAAGCAACTAGTTTTTGATGATGTAGACCTTATTTACGAAAGGTGTCAATTATCCAATTGACTTTGTATGATAAGCCAAGGATTCAAGAATTATATCAATCGATTTCAAGTACTTGGTATTAAATATTAATAAAGAACGTTCTAGAGAAGCGATTGGTAAATCTTATCCATACTAGATATTTAGATGATATCGTACGGGGCGATAGTAATTACAATGCCGAGTCGGTCACTTTGGAATTAATATAATTTGATGATTAAGCTACAATGAATACATTCCAATTATTATTACTTTTTACCACGTTTTTATTAATTCACTTTCTTGTTGTCTATCTGTCTGTGGTTCCGGGTAGAAACTTGCAATTCAAATTTCGAGCACTTCCCGATGAGCTAGACCTAGAGACTTGAAATTTTAAACATAGCTCTGAATACCGATAATAATGTAGGAATACGAAAAATATATTAAAAAAACCGTGCATATTAAATTATATTTGGACAAAATTTAAAAAAAAATACTAGTTATTAACATTGTATTGTCTTGTTGGATGAGCGGGGTACCCAGTAATACAGGTTTTCCAACTTAGTACAGGGGCCCTTGCAACTGGCATAAAATGTATTTCGATACATTACTTTTAATACAACTGAAATACATTATTTAAAGCTATTAAAGCTTTGACAAGTCAATGAAGTATTTTAAACAATAATATTTAATAGTGTGGTATAAAGAGACTCCTAACTAGGGTTGTCAACCTTACTGCACGGGTTTGCGGGAAAATTTTAATCACATTGCGGGATGTGACTAGAAAAAGTGATGAAATTTTTTATTACAAATTAACTGTTCCCCGCGACTTCGCCCGCGTGTAATAATTTATTAAGATTGGATTTCATGGGTTTTAATTTTTTTGCGCAGAACTCTAATTATTTTTCTAAAATAAAAGTAGCCTAAGTTACTCCTTATAACATCAGCTATCTGTTAGTGAAAGTCCCGCCAAAATCGGTCTAGCCATTTCGGAGATTAGCCGGAATAAACAGACAGATAGACAGACAGACAGGCAAAATTTTTAAAAATTGTGTTTATGTTACAAATACAAGTTATTTTGGCATTAAAAACAGACACTTCAATTTTATTTATTTGTATAAATGTATAGATAAGATTTAGTTTTCATAAAGTTTTCAACCAAATTAAAAAAGGAGGTTCTATATTTTCACAGAGTTCACAGATATCTCAGAAACGTCTAAACCTATTTAAACGAATAATTTTTATTAAATTGTATAGACTATACCTCAATGTCTGTGTCAATACTGTGTGGCACAGATAACTGTATACTAGTCAGAGACTGTGTGGTGTGGTGGTCTTATTATATAGATATGTAATAAGACCACATCACGAATGTACCGATACATTTGAAGGAAAAATTCCACCACTAAGGATTGAAAATAATGAGATTTATTGTAACTATTTTGACGAAATATTTATATTTAACTATGTAGGCGTGTTTCCCATGTCATTGAAAAAAAAAATCCTCGTACGTCAAAAAAAAATATTCCTTAGATAGCTTCCTTATGGTGTTAATCTTTCATCGCTGAGCACAAGTTAAATCAGCACTTAAAATTGCAACGAATAATTTCATTGGTGCCGACGCGGATCTAATCCAGACTGCTAGCGTATTGTGAAATTTGTTTGCGGCGAGAACTTAGAAACCTGTGCTACCCCGACTCTCCGTCACGGCTATTTGTTAGAAGATAATTACTTAATTATTCTATGGAAACTTTATTAGTTTATATTTCATTCATTTTGTGAGTTTGTTTTATTAATTCGTCTATTTACCTAAAATAAATAAAAAAAAAGCTTCTTGTTTACGTTGATGCTTGCTTGGTTTATTATTACAATGTATATATAATTACGTATGACAATGTTGTATATATACATTGTCCGCAAAGGCACGAGACTCGTGTCAATAATTCCCCGTTCCCTGGTCGAGTGACCCGTAAGGCCGTAAGCAGCTTGCCTCTCGCCTACTACTACGTCCAAAATTATGTTACATGCATCGATTACAGTGCTTTCAGATTGAACAAATAAGTACATATACAAAAAACTGTTAAACATCTGTTTACCATCTGATAATTGTAAATGTCGCTCTTTAGTCGAATATAACTCTTAAAAACAAAAAAAACTCGGTCGTTTGACGTTTCAAAATTTAAAAAATTGTGCAAAAGAGTATTGCGCTATAACAAAACAACCTTGTTACACGGCATAGACCCGCGATTTTATTGTGTTTAATCAGCGAGCGAAACAATGGCGCGTACGGTTGTTCCGAACAAAAGGCCGCTATCACAATTTGAAACTGATAAAACCAAAGATATCTTTAAAAAAAATCAAGTTGATGGAAGGCTTTGTTATTAATTTGCTTGAGTATTTCTGAGTAATATTTTTAAATCCTTGTAATATCTTAACTGAAACAAAGATAGCTTATGAACAAAGGTAAGTATATCATCATGATCATTATTAAGTCCTACACAAATCCACTGAAGAACATAAATCTCACCCAAGTAATGACACAAAACACGGTCCTGAGACACCTGCATTTCGATCATTACCCTATCAAGTAGGATGTCGTCCTGCAATCTACTTGCTAGCCTCGTAGGCTGCCAGTTTAGAAACTTTCTTCGCCATCGGTAGTCGGTTGGTCGACCTAATATGGCCGGTCCATTGCTATGTCACCTCACTGATTTGTTAAGTTCTGTGGGTTTTGCTGAGAACATCGTCGTTATGGATTCTATCGCACACAGAAACTCCGCACATAGCTCTGGCCGTAGCACGCTGAGCGACTTTAAGCTTTCTCATACGACCGGTAGTGAAGGGACGGGGACCATGTCTCAGTTACTGAAGACATCATTTAGTTGCCACTGCCGCACAGGTTTTGAGGAATATGTGTGTTATAATGTCCCAAACGCTGCCTAGCCATGTTGAATCTGTCGATTGAGCTACCTTAGTCGGACAATAATTTGCCCAAAGTAAATATACTTGTCAACAGATTCGAGCAGTGTTCCCGAGTACGCTCGTATGTACAACTTCAAACATCATTCCGTAGGTGTAGGTAGGTTCTTACGACGACAGACGGAAACAAATCAAGAGATGGGCAGTAGTTGGCCACCC